AATGCTTGGCCAGTAGAAATCTTGCCTTGCAGCCGCAATTAGCAGATCTCGAGAGAAATGGCCCTGCTCGCGGTGGATGCGCTTTAGTTTGGCTTTTCCTTCTTGCTGCGTGAGTGCCTTTGTGCTTGGACCTTTTCTTGCTTTGTGTCGCAAATCTCCTGCGTCAAAATCGACGTACAGGGAGTTTGCTTGCCATCTCAAAGTTGTGCGCTCCGGCAGATCAGCTGACGTGGGGACCTTAGCTAAGACCAGGAACCTAAGGGTTGGACCCAACTCGTTGTCCCCAAATTGCTCGAGCAGGTGGTACATGCTCGTGTTTGAGGTAATCATTCCCAGTGACACTGTGGCCGAGCTTCAACCAATCAGCAGGTTGGACGCTTTAAGGAAAGAACCCCACTTTCCCGATGGGCTCCTGTCTGAATTTGAATTCTCGGGTCTATGAGATAAGCCATGTGCCAGCGCGTGAGAAGTTCCAACTCTTTGGGTGACCTTGACAATGTCATGGCGCAAGATATCTTCTTGCCATCTTGCGTGAGCTACTGGCAGAGTTGCCAACATGAGAATGTCTCGCAGAGCTTTGCAGTCAGTAACTAACTCTATAGGCTGCCCAAACGTGAACTTAGCAAATTTTGCCAACGCCCATTTGGCCGCTGCTAACTCGCCAACATTGGGTGAGTATCTCGCCTCTGAGTCCGTACACCTTTTGGATGCATAAGCATTTGGGAAAACGCGGACTTTGTCTTTGTCCGTCTTCTCTTCTTGCTGGAGCAAAGCCGCACCCATGGCTTCATTGGACCAATCGCACTCAACTACAAATGGTGTTCCAGCGTACCTTGGTCCCCAAAGTATATGAGCATTGGTAAGAGCTGCCTTGAGTCTCAGAAAGGCTTCTTCATGTCTCGGTTCCCAGTCAAGTTTCGCATGTTGCCTTGCACGCCTTACAGCTCCAAATTTCGGCACCATTGACCACTTGCCGTTGGCTTGTTGACTTGTGCGCGTATTGTGTGCTGGGACTTTTACTCCACAAGTAAGGCTGTCCAGTGGGGCTGCTATTGTCGCAAAGTGGGGCATTTTGTTCCTCATATAGGCGCACGTTGCTTTGAACTTGATCACCTTGTGGACTGTTGTTGGGCGGGGCCACTCGACAATTGCTGCAACTCTTCCTGGGTCTACCGTAATGCCTTCTTTGGAGATGTTCTGGCCGCAGAAGGAGATTTCCTCTGCAAAGAACTGGCACTTTGGGATGGACAAGGTGAAGCCCGAGTCAGCCGCACGCTCGAAAATGCGCTGGAGCCATAGGAAGTGGTCACTGTAGGAATCATGACCTCCTCCTATATCATCCATCCAGAAATCCCAGCACATGTCGAGCATGTCCCCAAATACTTCAGTGGCATATCTCTGATAGGAGCTCGGACCAATCTTGTAGCCGAAGGGCATGAACCTGTACCCTATATAACCGAAGTCTTCAACCTCAAAGACTGAGTACTGGACGCCTTGCTGTGTTTGAAGCAACA